CCCACACCCACACCCACACCCACACCCACACCCACACCCATCGGGCAACGTAACTGACTAGTAACAGTAACTTTCCTTGTATGCTGAATACAGGAAAAGTGCTCACACTTATATTAGCGCTTATGAACATGAGTTGTACACTCGTAATTCCTAGAAACGGGAGCGTCAAACACTCTGATATAAGAAGAAAAGAAAACATGTTTAAAGACTTCGCTAGTTTGAGACAATTATATGAAATGCACTATGAGACGTGCTCCCGTTGCTTGGAAACGAAATGCTCAAAACCAGTAAGGATGGGAACAACTAATTTTCATTTAAAAAGATAAGCAAGCATTTATAAAAAATATCTGCATATTCAAAGAGTCCTAGAGAATGCAGCATACGATACATTCTCCGTTCATGGAAATTGGGCTGATAATGGAGGCACATGCTTATCGTAATCGTAGATTTCGAATTTAAGGTGTCGAAAATGCCTAATTCGAGTGAACTTTATTTTTTGTTCTATTTATATATGATTTGTTAGAGCTTGAAAAGCTGTCCATGAATACATAATTGTTCAATTTTGATTGAATAAGTGTTTAGTTTCAACAGCATTCAGGCTCACCGTAGGAATGTCGCTCACTCATTTCGTTTCCAGGAATAGGAACATGGAATACGGGTTGAGTTTCCACTCCTTGAAGCGAGAAATGTCATATGTATTATAGTCTCTGGGAACTAAGGAGTCTAGTTAGATTCGTCAATTACTAAATCAAAAAAGATAAGAAAATGCTCTTTTTGTAAGGAATAACTTTCGACACTAACAGATGTTTTTTTTTAATCAGAGCCAGTATGCGAAATGATTCACTCAACTTTGGTCGAAAGTAGAAATGTGAAAAATATGAAGTTGAGTAAAAGAAAATGAAAATGTTGAAAGCTGAGCTGGAGAATTCTGAATATCTACTTTTTCAGAAGATTAAAACCTACATAAGTCAGCTCAAATAGAGCGCTTATTATATTGGCCAAGCAAAACTAGAAAGACAAGCAAAATACTTGAAACCTCATTTTATTGACCTTCAATGATCTTCTCGTTACACAATCATAACTTTTTTCTTGTCAGGATTAAAGGCAAACAAGTGAGGAGATTAGATACTGTAATGAGATAGTTATACTATCGACTGTACGTGTTCATTCGAGTTTCTAATACTGTTTTTTGCGAAGTTTTTCTGCCTCAATGCAAATGTTAGAATGACTTTAGAAAAAGATACACCAGCACCCACACTCCTTAGCTATGCCACCACCCAACCTTAGCTGCCTATATCTCCCTTCACCTATATTGATCTACACAGTCACCCACTTTCTCGTTCACATCCAAACTTTCACCAGTACACTCGCATACAACCCCATTCCTTATTGCCTACGTTCGTGCACGCTCATATATTGTGCCTTTAATATTTTCTAGTTTCTGCATTTAAGCGTCGACAATTTTACTTTCGACTCTAAACTGTCGACATCTTCAGCATCGACCGCTTTATTTTGACGTTTTCGCTACGAAGCTCTTACGGCCCAGATCTTTAATTTCGATCAAAGTTGCTTTTATAATGAAAGACATCACTCATTGAATCAGACACTGAGTTTGTCTGATAATTAAACTTTGCCTATACTTAATATCACGATTAGACTGAGTGAAGAGATTTTATACCTGTAGAGTCTATTTATGGTCAGTTAAGCTAAATATTAGTTTTATGGAAACTACTCTTCAATAACTAAAATTTTGTCTTCGTTAGTTTGAAGCACTGTTCGAATAAGAACATAAAAGATGTTTTAGCGGGTTTCTTTCATTCCCAAACCAAAAGATAAGTCGAAGCTTATTATTAGCATTCAGCAGTTTGATAAGGAACAAATCGCAAACCAGTATTATAACAGCATCACACAAAACATTGCAACGAATAGTTAATAGTAAAAAGAGCTATAGTAAAACAATACTAAAGGAAATAATAACGAGAATATTATAATAAGAATTTCATAAGCGATCGTTTTTCCGCAAAAACTTCTTTTTCTTTAAAAACTCAATTTTGTCATGAAAAAAAAAGATATTTTTAGTAAGAAAAATTCAACTCAGAGCTTTGAGAAACTGATAACTGCTTCAAATTCCTTGACCTCAATTATCTTTAATCAAAATTAAAAAAAAAATTATAATTTTTCAAACATACCCTTTCCTTGACAAGATAAATCGAACTCGAAATTTTTGAGAAATCGACTGAAGATTCAGATTCCTCGACTCCGATTCCCTTTGTTCAAACTTTATAAAATATCGTCATTTTTAGAAAATATCCTTTGCTTGACAAAAAAATCAAATTCAAAATTTTCAGAAACGGATTGCAGATTTAGATTCTTTAACCTCGATTACATTTGGTCAAACTTTATAAAAATCCATTATTTTTATGAAATTGCCTTTTCTCCAGTGACTTTGTAAAGTTTTCATTAAAAATGAAAGAAATGTATGCTGCGTTTCCTGTTCCCAGGAACGGGAACGCCAAACACCCAAACATAAAACGACAAGCGAACACATCTAGAAACCTAGCTCTGTTGAAATGAAGCTGAAAAATGCGATTTTGAGATGCCTTTCCGTTCCTAGGAGCGGAACGCTAAGGAACGGGGAACGCTGACAGCCCTAATCCCCATGTCCCATGCCCCCATATAAAATAAATATGAGTTGTTAACAAACACAGAAAACGAATTTCCTAGCAATCGAAATTCAACAAACCACTTGATGTCCCCATATCCCGCTCATCGAGAAAATATCATTAATAAATAAACATGGAAAGCGAATTTGCCAGCAATCGAAATTCAGCCAATCATTTGATGTTCCCATATTCCGCTCATCAAAAATAGCAGAAATATGCAATCTTAAGAGATCGAAATTCACCAAGAAAGTCTTTTATATCAAATCATTGTCTGATATTAGGACAAACACAAAGTTATACAATAAGACAGTAAATAGAGTTACTCATAATTACTTATCGAATAAACAATTATATCTGTCAGTTTTTATCGTCAAAATAAGAAGAATATACGTAAATCTCATTACAAACAAACAAACAAAATTAATGCATTTCAATCTCAACTAAATTGAAATATGAATTGAAATATGAACAACAATTTACAACGGCAATATAGGATACGGCAGTAAATCCTGCAATCCATGAAAGAAAAGCATCTTCTAAAGAAAATACTCCAAGCGATTGTCATGTGCTTTCAATTAAGTTAAAGTCATGGCAACGCTTTGAACGATTTTCATGATTTTAGAAAAAAAAATTAACTTAAATCAATTATTTTCATCTAACAAAAACAATAGTTCGGTAGATTGAATCAGAAAAGTGATTGAAGTTAATGAGGTTTTTAATTGATGACTTGGACAAAATCGACTTTTTGTGAAAATCATTATTTGAAACTAGAAATTCCATTGAATTCAGTCGAAAATTGTTATGAAGAATCTTTTTTTCTGATCTTTTAAACTGAATCGATTTTAATTTGCTCTTTAATAGGTTTTTTTCAGATGGATAGCAAATCGATTCTTTGTGTTCATATTTTATTATGGGTACATTGGTTGAAGGATATAATCCTTGATATTTTTCGCAGTATCGAAAACTGGAGCTTTATTTTAGAAATAAAGTATTCTTTTCTCATCGTTTTTACTTACTTGGGGAAGTTGGATTGATTGGTGATGACATAACAACTGTTACCGGTTGTAAGAGTGGAAATGGTGGGCTAGTTTCTTCCAGTTGAACAATATGAAGGTTTCCTTGATTAAGACAGCCCATTACTTTGAATTGAGTTGCAGCCATAAGCAGTACTTCATCTTCGGCTGGAAAATACGAATGGTTACGAATATTTCTAGCTGATTGACATTGTAAGGTAAACATTGTTCTGTCACCTGTCGTTCCCAAAAATAGTTCTGACTGTAGAACATTAACGGCTGTTGTGCAAGATGAAAAGCCCCACCAGACGATTGTTTTCCCTGCGATATATTTTTTACTTAGATCTAATTTAACACCTCTGTATGCAGTTTTTACAAGAGGTGGAAGAAGAAATAGTGCATTAAGAAAGAGTCTTATAAACAAATACCATGGTTTAAGTTTTTGTTGTCGTTCTGATGATCGTAATGTGTCATTCAAAACGAAGTATAGGCATTCATCAAGTGGTTCCCATCCCATCGTGTACAGCATAATTGATGCAGATTCATCTTGCGTCAATCCATCAGCAGGATTCTCACATCTTTGTTTAGCAACATAAGCGTGACTCTGAACTTCGGGTAGCATCGGAACAAGTGGTTCTACTGCTTGTTCCAGTGAAACAAGCGGTTCTTTCCCATAACCGCTAATAGGTGCAAGAAATTGCAATGGTTCCTGGGCAATGTCTGTAATACGTAATATACGCTGTGCTATTGCATCTTCTCCTCCTCCTGTAGCCATATTCAGCAGAAAGAAAATTCTTCGCAAAGCAATAAAATAATAAATATCTGAAACGTTGTAAAAGACAACTTTTATGGCATTATATTTGTCCACTTTGATTTTTTTGTCTCAAGAAAGTAATCAACTTTTACGATCACTGAACTTATATTACGCAACTTTGTTCAAGTTGATACATGTTTCAAGTAGGGGTGGGAAGTCACCGTTACCGTTCACGAGTAACGGTAACGGGACAGTTACCAGTTACCCGGAAAGGGGGGAACGGTCAGGTGAGTGTCTGCCGTCATCAACCCCGTAGCCTAGATCCTCGAGTCCTACTATTGGGGGTACCCTTGCGTCCTCAACTTCTACCATTGGAGATACTCTTGAATCCTCAGGTCCTGCTACATTCCCTAAACTGAAAGGATAGGGTCCAGAAACGGAAATTTACCGGTGTTTGTCTGTAACACTTGGTACAAGTGACCATTTTCATGGTACAAGTGACCATAGTCGTAGTACAAGTGACCACTTTCATGATACAAAGTACCATAGCCGTGGTACAAATGACCATTTTCATGGTACAAAAGTACCACTTTGGTGGTATAGGCGACGGTTTATTTGACACAATTGACTATTTCCATTATACGAATGACCGTTTCTGTGTCTCAATTTCACCATTTCCAGGGCACAACCAACCATTTCTATCGCATAGTTCACCATTCTTATGGCATAAAGGAGCATGCCTATGTCACAATTGGCTATGTGCATATTAGAAATGGTCATTACTTTTGCATAAATCACCATTTTAGTCGTTATATATAATTAATGCATCAACTTTGTCATATACATTAGTATCTTTCAATATTTTATGTAAACTGTTTGAATATATCTGTAGTATGTAACATACAACATGTTACAAATATTAATAATTTCCTCTAAACTTATCATTATACAGAATTCATTCTTATTGAAAAAGCTTGTCAGCGCAGCTCCTTTGGAGCTGAAATGTGGAACTCACGTATATCCTTTCAATTTGTTATTCTACTGCATTATTTGTAAACTAAAACATACTATTTTTTCAAATAATTATGAATGCATTAGAATACTGTATAGAATCTGAAGCCTTTTGTGCGCGGTTGTTGACGTCTGTAATGGTGCCCTGTCTGTAATGGGGGGTGTCTGTAATGGGGGGGTGTCTGTAA